TAAACAAAATGTTTAGCTAGCCTCCCAGGGTTAACAGCCACAGGTAAAAGCGGACAGGGAGGGTGGGTGCTGGGGTTCTTGAGACCTTAATTCAGACAAGGAGTGGAGAGCACGTGGTCTGGGAGTGAATCCAGGGTGACCATACCAGAAGAGTGCAGTGGGCTCAAGGTGACCTGAGCCAGACCTGGACTTGTGCTTAGTTTTTAAAGAATTTTTAAAATTAGTATGTCTGTGATTCCTCATAAATACTGGGAACTGGCAACATGCATAATCTTTCTTTGGCTTTCAAAGAAGATTTAAAATCCTCATTTAGGATTAAAAATATAACTCAGCCGTCACTTTTGTTCTCACGTGGTAATTCTTTCATTAAACTTAGAGTCTTTAAAACTGTTCAAAAGTTTGAATAGTTTGAATGGTTGTTCACGTAAGAAACTACGAAATCTTAGTTTGGGATTAACTTTACAGAAGAAAATCCTGCAACTTGTAGATGACCAACATGAGCCCTAAAAAGGTCAGTGAAATTATATATGCACAGAGTTTTATTGGATCATTGAACAGAACTGTTTGCAGTATCATTGTTGGAATGTCCACTCTATAAGCTTTAATTTTGTGACTTGAGCAATTATTTTTAAGATGGCAATATGTAATCCATTAACTAGTGATTTCCTACTGTTCATTTTTTTCTTCTGCAAATCTGTATAACTTGTACCCTTCCACTTTTTTTTCTTTTCTCCTTAAATAAAAAAAAAGAAATTATATATGTACAATATTATGGGAAAATCATTTTTTTTAGGCAAAACTTTGTTTTAAGCTATAAAACTAATGAATACTGGAGACAATACCAGGGATTTGGCTTCTTTGGGGTCATGATGGAAATTTCTCCCAAAGTGTCCATTATGGTAAAAATCTATTTATTAGAGAGAAATTTATTAGAGAGAAAATTTATTAGAGAGAAATTTATTAGAGAGAAAATTCAGCACCAGAGATTTTAAGCTAAAAGTAGGAATCAGTAGACCCTTTTAGTTTTCTGAAAGATAGCAAATAGAGGAAGGGCACAGAGGAACGGACCCCAGGATCCTGCTGAAATGTCTCACACTGTCAGCGAGTTGCAGATATGGGGGGCTGAGCCTGGGCACAGCTGGGGTGGGAGGAGCAGAGGGCAGGTGCTCCTCTACCTGACATTCCGCTGAGTCCACCACTGTGCATTAACCGTCTGCGTTAAACGTGCCTCTGCTTCTTCTAGCTGGAGCTCTGACTCCTGGCGCTTCTGCTGCCGGAGCACCAGCAGGCTACTGAGTTTATCTTCTAGCTCTCCACAGAACCAAAAGCTGGTCTATATGCTCTTCCCCTCAGAGTGCTGTTCTGTTCTAGGGGACTCGGGGTTACTCCTCCCTCTCCTTTTTCTGAGCCTTTTGCTTTCTTGCCTAAAATATAAAAATTATAATCTTACAGAATGTTCACAGACTAATCTAGAATCCCAAGAGTTTGAGGGGATCTCAGGGAGAGCAACAAGGACCATTAGGATTGTAGGGAGGGTCCCCAAATACCATAGTGAATGCCCAATGAAGCTTGAATTTCAGATAAAAACATAGTGTCAATATTGCTGGGTACTTAAACATTATCCTTTATATTAATTTGTTGGAAATATAAACTAACCTAGGTATTCTGTGTTTTTATTTCCAAAGTCTAACAGCCCAACATTTGTGAAAATGATAAGTACCAGTTTGTCTTTGTTTGGGCTTTTCGTGATAGGCAAGAAAGACAAAAGAAAAAAGAGAAAAGAAACACACAGTTCTTTAAAAGTAAAATCCGTTACTGGAAGTCCTGTTCTTTGTTCATGCTCTTTGATCCATGTTCCTGTGTGTATTGTACCTCAATTTTATAGGACCCGGGTCCTGGTATTAGGGGAGAATGCTGACAGTAACACTGATTATAGACATTGATAAATAACAAAAAGCCAGGTTTGGTGGCAGATGCCTCTAATTCTTGTACTCTGGGAAGCTGAGGCAGAGGAATTGTAAATTTGAACTCAGCCTAGGCAACTTAGTGAGATATTGTCTCCAAAATTATAAAAAAAACAAAAAGAGTTTGAGATGTAGCTCAGTACAAAGGCCCTGATTTTAATTTCCAGTATTAAAAAAGGGGGAAAGGTTAAAACTATAAAAATAGCATCACTTAGGAACCCTAATTAAATTTTGGTAAACGGTACTGGTTTATGTCAATCACAGTTTTGCCATTTTGCTTGTTTCCCGATAATCTTTATGTTTTTTCAGAGAATCATAAGGAAATGGTCTAAAAAAAATCACCTATTTCATTTTGGACATTTGCGGATGAACTAACCAAGACCGGGGGAGAAGAGACCAGCAGCACGTCCCACTGCCCACTAATATTAACAACAGAATGCTAATTAATCACCAGGGTTTCCTCCGCTCAAGCATTTGCTCTAAGAGAGCTGCTTGCATTATCACACTTAATTCCCACAACAATCAGATCACCATTCTCATGGTTCTCATGAGGCAAGTTAAGGCACAGAGAATTTGTAACTTATCTAAGGTTCAAGGTCACACAGTTAATAAGTGGAGGTGACTCCTTAAAAACTCAGATAGCCTGGCCCAGGACCCACATACTCCAGCATGACTCCCTGCTTCGTCTCAGATAAGATGACTTTGAATCACTAAACATGTTTGTAAATGTAAACTTGCAGAGCTGACTGGCCCTGTAGTGAGAGCCTGTTCTTAATCCCCAGGCCACTTGATTATAGTTTATGGAAAGTTGGTAAAACCTTGCTGTCATTCATGTCAATTGCAGGGTGAAAGGGATTATCTGCTTGCTTATGAACAAGCCCTATCACGCAGAGTCTACGCTGCTATAATAAGAAAGCAATTTAGTTGCATTTATTTTTGAGATATTTTTATAAGATACGTAATTGAAGCAAAGTTTTACAGTGAGGTTAAAACAATGCAATGAGATTACAGTTTGAATGGCTCAGGAAAAAAAAAGAGGCTAAGGAAGAAGACATGAAGAACTCAAACAAAGAATCCCTATTTAGCTACTGTTAGCTACAGAGTAAGCTGGGATCCCTTAGACAGAGGCCCTCTGATTCCCATGCAACCAACCAGATCTCAGCACTAGTCTAGCTAATTGTTATAATTACATCCAAAAAGAATAGCTACCACCTTTAAGTATTACATTTTCTAAGCTTTATATAGTACTCTTTTTTTCTTTTGAGGGATTACCCGTCCTTGCATCCTAGCTGACCAAGCCACTTTGCCCATTTCCAGACTCCTATTTCCCTGTTTATAAAGGATGGAGGATTAAACTCGACTGATTCTGCTTCTGTATCATGTTTTCTTCAAGCTATCCATCATTATGCCACAAAGGGCTGCCCACACTTCAATCGGGGAGGCAGGGGCCGGAGAGGGGAGGGAGAGAGACTGTAATTCTCTAAACCCTAGGTTCAGGGGTGGCATCTACCTGGAAGAGCCCAGGACTCTACAAAGCCCTGGAGATGGAAATTGGGAGCAGTGGAAAAATTGTCTTTCTACTGCACTTTAACTGAAGGAAGCATTGGATACGTTTAGTTTACAAGTCTACTATCAAGAACATCACCAAAATCCTTTTAGAGATGATCCAGCCCCTCCCTGCCCTCCGCAGGAGACCTGCAGGGAGCCTTTGAAATGCACACAGTTTCAGGCCTAAGAAGTCCACATCCTCTCTTCTTCAGAAAGGTGGCAGTGTTGCCTTGCAGTTTTTAAGCAAATTATCAACTGGTGCTGAGGTCTCTGGCTGATTAACATACCAGCCGCCTCACCTTGTGGAAAGGGAAGGAAGGATTTAATCCACTGCAGACCTTTGTGGCTGGCGCTCACCACACTTGGCTTCAGGGGCACCACGGCTAGTGGCTGCCCAAGCTCATTCACTCAACAGTGCAAGAACAACAGATCTTCCAACAGTCCACGACCCCTAACACCCAGGAGCAGCTACATTAGTTATGGATGATTCTTGTTTCCCAGCATCCACACGTTTGAACCACGCTTTCCTAGTGAAACCACCGAGCAGCCCCGTTTGTGAAGGCCACCAGAAACGCAGCTCAGCAAACCACACGAACATCTTGCTGACACCTGTTTGCTGAAGGTTCCCACGGGGCCCCTGGCACAGCAATCCACATTCTAAGCAGGTGTCCTGCCTCGACTGAGTGGGTTGTTACTACTGTTAGAAAACCAACGATATCCACAGAACTTAAGCAGTCAACCGGCGCCCTGTCTAGACACGGGAACCCACATACTGCTGGCCCTAGCTGCGGGCGCACGACCCCTTCAGAAGGCGCCACTAGAGTTCAATGTTCCCTTACACTCACCTCTACTCAGCATCCTTTGGGAAGTTTCTCTATGTGCCACTAACACAGAAATTTGGGGGAAAATTCTCCATTTATAAATATCAGATGGTTTGGGAAAAAATATTTGTGGCACTGGACTTTTTTTTCCCGCTACAGTGATGTCATTTTGAATTCTTGGTGTGCTCCAAATTTGCTATTTTTACTTCCCCCAAGTGACTTTTTTGGGAAATACATTTGTTTTGATTAGCTACATTTGAAGTGACCCTTGTACCTAACACACAACACCAGGTCCATCTTCTCAGAAATTTTAACTGAGTGTTCCACAGTTCCCAAACCGGGAACCCCTTATTAGCTCACCTCCAAAGTTCTCTTTGGATATACCCCTCCAAAATTTCTATTCACAGATTCAAGGAAAAAATACAATAAGATACAAAGATTGGCCTAGTCATAAACAAAACCCACACTCCACAACTGAACACATTTGTAACGGAAGACACGAAAGGTTCCCAAAGTCAAGTAAAATTCTCCAAAATGTGTTTCTGGGGAACAGAGCTGAGGTAGCCACGGCGGGCTACCCTTGAGATACTAATTGGAGAGCAGTTCTAGAGTGCAGAATCACAGAAGAGGAAAGTTTGAGAAGAAATACTAAATGCCTTAGCCCTACCTGATCTGAACTTGCTTCTAATCAGCAAAGAATGCTCAGACCCCAGGAGTGTCATGGTGCGTCTCAGCAGGCCGCTGGTCCCTTTGCCAGACGCCCCTCTTTTCCACCAGGAACAGGCTCCCGGGAGCCCAGGTGACCGCAGTTAACAACCCAGAATGCATCCAACTCTCAGTGAGCTCCCCTGGGTAGGAGAACAGACGGTGGCAGCCGGGGTCCCCAGAAAACTGGCGCCTCCCCCCTGGCTCTTCGGGACTAATTAACTCTTAGCCCGCAAGACCCTCCTCCCCAGAGGCCTGCCAGGGGCCGCGGCATCCCAGGCGTTCCTGGCTGATGTCATAGGCTGCCAGCGATTGCGGAGTAACGCCACCACGCCTTTATGAAGGTCCCAAATTTGCTATCTGATACTCTTTACTACTGACAGGCTCTCAGCCAATCAGGAGCGGCGAGCGGCGCCTGGGGACCCGCGGAGCCCGGGGAGCCTCGGCCGCCGGCTCTTAACTCTTTGCAGCGGGCTGAGCTGCTGGCCAGGCGCGGAGGGCGGGACGGAGGCCCTGGGGTCCCGCGCCCCTGCAGGGCCGAGCTCAGGGGTGCAGACTCCGAGGACAGCGCGGAGGGCGGCGACGCCCGGGGGCTTGCGCGAGGCGCGGATGCTGCGGTGCAGCGCAACCCGGACCTCGCTGGGCAGGGAGTGGACAGCGCGGCCCGGGCTTCCCCGACCCCGGGCTCCTGCACCCGCGGAGGACGCTGCATCTCCCGCCCGCCGGCCACCCAAGCTGGGAGGCCGAAAGGACGCGGGCGCCGGCGGGATGGCCACGCGGGACGCTGGGATGGGCCGGGTCCCCTGCCCAGCAGCACTCGGACCCCAGAGCGCAGATCCTCCCACCCGCTGCTCGGGGGCTCAGAGCGCAGGAGGAGCAGGAGACACCTCGCCACTGGGGTACCAGGCTTGGAGCGTTCCTAGGGAGCATCGGAGAAGCCTTTGATGTTTCTGAATCTGCTTTTTGAGTGTGTACTCTGACTCGGTGTGTCTGGAGATTCAGCCCGGACACCGTGCTCTCCGCCACCCCCTAGGGATGGAGGAGGACACCGGGGTTGAACGTCCCCCCTGGGGCTCTGCCATGGATTGGGGCTCGCAGGGGGCGTGGCTCTGGAGCTGGGGCCAGATCAGAGCAGGGCTGAGTTTAGCTGCAGAGCCTAAATAGCTTTTCCTGCGAACGAGTGAGTTTTTCCTCCCGGCAAATATTTGTGCGTTTCCAAAGCAAAGTTCTTAGCGTCTAGAACGTGCTCCGTATTATAAATTCATCAATTGCGGGGGGAAAAAAACCCAAACCCTGACGTCAAGCAACAGGTTTAAGAGCTGGCGATTCAGAAAAATAAAAACCAAACTGTGTAATAGGTTAGTTGGGTTTAATTTCTTTGAAAACTATGTGTACGTGGGTATCCAGCTGCTACCTCTTCCAACACTCAGGGTTGCCTATGTTTCAAAGCTCTGCACCCAGAAAAGATCCCTTGGCGAAAGAAGAAGACCTAATTGTGACTATAGTTCACGGGGGGTGAACAGTCTCCAAGGCCCTAAGTCTGCTCCCAACTCCTGTTGCTTGAAACCCCATTGGGGCGATTAAACCTGCTTGAAGTTCGTTCTTTGGCTCAGACCAGGTTGTACAGATAGGAAAGTTTCTTCTCTACCTGTCCAAAGACAGGAGGAACAATCCTGTCCAAGTCCCTCTCGGGAATCACATCCTGGTGTATGAGTGTACAGAAGCATCCCAGTGATTACATTAAAATTTCCCACACAAAGCACAAGACTTTGCTATACTTTTTGGAACATATCCCCACATACTTACTGGCTTCAAACCATTATCTTGGTGGTCCAGAGGTCAGCAGTTGGGCACTGGTCTTGTGGGGTTAAAGCCAGAGTGCTGGTAAGCAGGACTGTGCTCTTTTCTGGAGGCTGTAGGGAAGAATCTGTTTCCTTTCCTTCTCCAGCTTCTGGAGACCACCCATGTTCTTTGGCTTCTGGTCCTTTCCGTCTTCAAAGCTAGCTACAGTGGGTCAGCTTGGTGCTCTAACACCCTCCCCCCACTTCTGCATTCTTCTCCCACATCACCCTCACAGTCTGGATAAACATTGTAAGGTTATCTGACTATCCATCTTAATTCCAATCACTACCTAACTTCTCCTTGCCATGCATACACCATAAAGCACAGGTGCCCGGAGTGGGGATGTGAACACTGGGGAGGGGGGATTGTTCTGTGTGCCAAGAGGGACTTTTCTTTCTTCACAGCATCATTTTGTTGTCAGCCTCCTGGCCTTTGATGGAAAGGGGGAAATTAGGATGGCCGGGAATCCAGTAAAACTCCAACAAGCTTTGAGATGTGTGCAACACACGGGACTCTGAAGGAAAGAGATTAGTTGGATAAGGAATATTGCAAAGTCAGTAGTAGAGAAAAACTACTAAGAAACTCTGAAGAGGATGGAAGGAAAGAAGGAAGGATGGAAGGAGGGAAGGGAAGGGAAGGGAAGGGAAGGAAGTCCAGTCAGATTTTTATGAGGTGTTCGAGGTAGAGAGGAGATACAGGGCTCTTGGCAGAGAATTATTTATGTTCAGTGAAGGTTGTAATGCAATCAGCTGCTGCCAACATTGAATGAACTGTATGACTCACCAGAGATGAGAGGGCTCAGGTGCTTCCCCTATGCACGGATGGATGGAGGAGTAGGGTGTGGATGGTAACAGACTCCCTTTTTGAAGTGTGGAAAGTGGTGGTCACTATACCCATCCTCAAATTTCTCATCACTATCTGTGGAGCTGCTGGCCTCGTCCCGCTGGGATTTCTGGCCCCTCTGGTTTGGAACATCTAGAGATATAAATATGTGCAATCCAAAGTTCACCCTTAGCCCTTTCTAGTCAGGCATTACTCTGTGATTTGGGGGAGCAGAATTTGGAGACGAAGGTCCCACAGAGAACACAGCTCTCAAGCTGCTTTCCTGTGGGGGAAGTGTACTAACGTGGCAGCAGTCCATCAAGGTGACCACTGTGGCAGCACTTTGCCATGTCAGCATGCTGGTACCTTCTCTCCTGGGATTCAGAGTGAGCTCCTGATGTAGTGCAGAGGAGAGGCCTGAACTCCAGGCCTGTGCAAAGTCATCCTTTGAGTCAGAGTACCTGTGCCTTGGAGGGTGTTCTTGAAGTCCTCTGAGATACTCAGCACTTTACCAGAAGACTACAGTTAAAGACCCTTACTTCCCAGAAGATTGGAAATATTTAAATAAAATTATCCTTTTAGCGGGCCCAAAATAATTCTTTCTGGTGTGTTTTAGACTCTTTACTCTCTCCTTGACCACTTCCATTTCTTCACTAAGACTCCAGGCAGTCACGTATCTTTTCTCTCTGTTACAACCTTTTCTTTTTTATTATTCAGTTATTATTATAATGGTTTCATTGTGGGATTTGCATATATACATGCATACATCCAACAACTTTCGTTTGTATCCACCACCTGTTTAACACTCTCTTGTCTTCCCCTCTCCATGTCCTTTCCTTTTCCCTAAGAGTCTGTCTTCTGTCACATTCTCTTTTTTTCCTACATTTCATGTATGAGAGAACTTGCTAATTCCTACAAATGGCATGGTTTCAATCTTTTTGGTGGCTGAATAATGCTCTGTGGGGTATAGATGCCACATCTTCTTCATTCATTCATGGATGGGCATACAGGCAGATTTCATATCTTGGCTGTTATGAAGTGTGGTACAATAACCATGGCTTATGCTTATTTTTCTCTGCTATTAGACATTTGTGACCATGAGCCCAGTTACAACTGGGGCCACATAACATTTCATTCAGCAATGGATCACATATAACACAGCGGTTCCGTGAGATTGTAAAGGAGCTGAAAATATCCAATTGGGGCACAAGTGTAACATATCAACCATTTGCTTGTGTTGAATGGATAGAAGCAGACCTGCCTATCTCATTCAACACACACACTGGTGTTCTGTAAATAATTGATAAATGATAACAAAGGACGCCATTACTGTTTTATTTATTTACCATGCCTTTATTATTTTAGAGTGTGCCTTACAAAAAGTTTCTTTTAATGAAACTTTTGTATGACTCTAGCAGCAACCTCATGTATCCCGTATTTACTGTGTCTTATTTGCATCAAGAGGCCATGTGGGGTCATTGGCCTGTACCACATAGGTTTGTTTCAATAGATGATATGATGTTTATACAATGATGAAACCAACTGACAGCATAGTTAGCAGAATTTATCCCTTGACTGTACCACAAAATTTGCAGCTTAAAACAACACGCACCTTTATCATCTTTGGGTTTGCTGGCCAAGAGTCCAGGCCTGGCTGACCTGTGAGATGCTTCTCTGGTAAAGGGTTTATAAGACTGTTGTCAGTATGCAGACTGCATCTAGGGTTTCGTGAGAGGCTCATATCTTCTTCCAGGGTCACTTTGTTGGGAGAATTCAGTTCCTCACAGCTCTAGAGCTCATGAAGACTTGACTCTTTGCTTATAGGAGGAGAATGTATTTCTCCCGGGCAGACTAAAGCACCTATTAAAGCCCTCATCTGATCGTATTAGGCTTACTCAGGATGATTTGTCTCTTGATTAACTCAAATCTCTATTCATTAGGAACTGTAATCATATCCGCAAACCTCCTTCATCTGTGCAGAATAATGTAACCTACTCAGGCAGTGCCATCTGTCACATTTACCAATCCCTTCCATGTGGAAGAGGAAAGGACAGTACCAGAGAATGTACATCTCAGTGGTTGGGATGACACCTTAGAACTCTGACTTCCCAGAAATGTAGTTAGACCTCAGCCAGGTTGGTAGTGGTTGTGCCTGAGGCATGAATCCAGCACAAGTTTGTCAGCTTACATTTTCCTCCCTTGCAGTTCTTTTTTCTTAGGCATGGTACACGAGCAGCTGCTGTGTTCCAGCAGGGCACAGAATGGGGAGCCAGGGGACAGTTGGATATTGAAGACTGTTGGCTTCGTTGCCTGGAAGACTCCAGGTTCCTCATAGAAGATGCCTCTCCTCCCACAATCCTCGCACCCCAACCCAGGTCATCCTTTACTATCTGCATGGATTTCCTGGTCTTCTTGTTCTGAGTGTCTAGTCCTGGTATCACTTCCTCTCTGCTTTCTAGTTTTTCTTTTAATGTCTCATGGATAAGCAACTTCAGGGGGAATGTTTATTCCTCTTAGTTGCATTTATTGAAAATGTATTTAAGAATCTGTATGAGTCACTCTGGAAAGTGCCAGGGCAGGTGTGTAGTACCCAGACAGGTTTATAAACTCCAATGAGTTGAATGGATCAGAAAGAAGAGAAAGTGTAGGGGAG